GGGGGTGGGGGTGGGTGAGTTACAAAAATTTCTTCCTTCCTTCCTAGAGATGATCAGCTTTTTGTGTGCGTGAGTGTTTGTTCTTGAATTATTCTTAGAATTATCTTAGAATTATTATTATTTAGTAGTAGTCCTAGTTTACTATAATTATTATCGATTTATCAATATTATCAATTTATTTTAGAATTATTATTAATAAGTATTGTAATTATTATTAATGATTTTTACATTATTATTATTATTAGTAGTCCTAGTTTACTAGTATCATAAGTGATTTCTTATTGATATTAGTTGTAGTCTCCTACTAGTATTTGGTTTCCTATTTTGGTCACAATTGATTATTTGTCAGGACTTTTATTTAGCAAGTAGTTATTTGGTAAGATTCTGTGATTTTTTTTTTAAATTTAGGAATGTAAGCCTCTATATAAGAAGGCACTAAGTAAGTAAGTATTAATGATATTCTGAAATGAAGAATTAAACAGATTTTTTTCTTCCTTCCCGGATCCAATTGGCTCTTTCTTATTGCGTGTGTGAGTTTTTTTTAATGAAACCCTAGGTCAGAGTTCTTCCTCCATAGATCCCATGCCCATATCTAGTAGTGTTAGTGGCAAAAATTATAGATGACTCTTTTAGTTCCATTGGCAATCGACAGTAACTTTCACTGTTGTGTTGTTACACCTCACAAAGTCACTGTGCTCCCTGGACTAGGTTTTTGTTTTTTTGCACAAAATGCTTGAACAATTTTGTAATGTATTCAGTTTAATTTTATTTGGATGCATATGATGTGAAAAAGGCCAATTTTAATGTTTTGGGAAAATGTATCTTAGCTGAAAATTTGATGTTTAGTTTATTAGGTGCGAACCGTGCGACTTCTTGTGGAACTTGGTTTCACATACGGTTTTTATCATCTTTATTTGACGTAAAGTGACCACATTTTATGTAGGGCTATGAAATACGAGTCTCAAATCTGAATCTCTTCCAATTATCTTGCAATTGATATGTAAAGTTCCATTCCTGGGCATGGATCTGTATGCATTGGACTGTTCTACTTTTATTTAGTCATAGTAACTTAGGCATTTTATTAATAAAAATTTGTATTTAATTTTCAAATCTCTCATCTAATTTTTTGTAGTCATTTGGTCATTTTAAAATTCATCTTAGAATACAGTTTGTGCTATGTGGTGGTTTTCTTACAAATTTGGGATGGTGTGTTATTTCAATACTATACAAACTCGCATATTAAAAAAGAACAACCGACCTCAAATCCGCACTTTCCCATGGATATACAGATTACAGTTACAAACACCCCCTGCTCCCATGCCCGTGTTCCAAGATGCCACTGTAGCATCAATGACTCTGCATCATACCTTAATTTCCTATAGTGGCAATCTTCAGTGACAATATGATGACCGCCTTGACTCACACCTTCATCTTTACCTTGATGGCTTTTACCTGAACCCTTAACTAGAAGACACACTTCTTTTAATTGAACCTTTAACCAGACACACCGAACACATCTTCTCCAGTGTTTTTCGTAATTGCAACATTTATCTTTTGTTAAGTAGATTATTATTTTATTTTAACACATCCCATTTATAAGATTATAGGTTCCATCACATTATATAAGAAATTTCTGTCGGTAATTACATGAGCATATGGTTCTTTAATCTTTATTAAAGGTCTTCACATTTTCAACGAGTTCATTTGTTACTTGTTATGCAGATCTACCTCCTAGATACTCATCTATTTTACACTATTATATCTTCTATCTGTGGTTTCCTGTTGGGAGCAAAGGAACGTCTTGGAGAGGCATGTATTTTATCACTAAAATGATTGTAGTGTTTTGTTAGTCAATATCCTTATCTTTATCTTCAAAACTCAGTATTGACATTTTGATTTTCAGATTCGATCTTTGGATGCTGTTCAAAAACTTTTTGAGAGATTTCCTGCTGCTTTTATGGATACCCTTCATGTTCCCCTTGGCATTAGGTGCATTCATCTTGTTGTCTTGTTGTTATCAGTTGGTTCCCTGTTCTCCAATCAGTTTACTTAAAACATATTTGCTGTATCTAAATCCAAAATCTATATTGCAGGGAATCCATGCGTTCATCTGGTTTGGTGAGTTATTTTTACTTACACTTCTGTAATGTCATTGCGATATTTTGGCTAATTTGATAAATCAGTTTGTTTGTGGACCAAAAGATTTACCTATGTTGCCTTAACAAGTTAAGAGTGATGTGTACTTGTCATTTTAGGTACTTAAGAGTCACATGGACGATTTAGATGCATTTTCTTGCTTTTTTATATATACATATATATATACATATATATATATATATATGTATGTATGTATGTATGTATGTATGTATGTATGTATATATATGTGTGTGTGTGTGTGTGTCTGTGTGTGTGTCTCCTATTATCGGTTTACTTTACATGTATTGTTTTCCATTGGTTTTCATTTTTTTGGATTTATTTGATTCCTTCTTTAAGAATATTCTAAAAATCTTAGCACTTGACTGTGCCCAGGCACTAGCCCCCAGTATGTTCTAGCTCCTAGTGCTTTTTAATTTTTTGAAAATTGTTAATATGTTCAATAAATTCTTTCTTTATTTCAACGTGTTCTCTTTATTAATTGTGAATTTCTCCAAGAATATAGATAGCTTATTGGACGCAGTAGTCTAAAAGTTTTGATTGATACTATTCCCCATCCACTAATATTCATTCTCTAGGAAGATACACAGTAGTCTAAAAGTTTTGATTGATACACAGTATTGCAACATTGGGTACATGCAATTCCAATTATGCCGTCTCACATGTATATATGCATATTTGTATTGTTAAGTTGTTCATTTAAGAGTTTTGATATTATGATGTACAATTGTTTTGTTAGACATGTGAAAATAGCAAGGATGATATATCATTGTATTCAGTGGGAGTAGTTGCTTTCTTATATTTGATTTTGATTAAATTGATTATTAAATGATACTGTTCAATTGATAGGAACTAGAGAGGAACAAAGTTGATGCTGCTAAGTTTGCTCCTTTTTGGAATGAGATTATAAGGAATTTGAGGGAAGAAGACTACATTAATAGTTTGTGAGTTTTACTTGTGGTCATGGCATTTTCTGTTATCAGATCTGATTCATTGACTGCTCACTAAAGCTCACTAGACACACATTCATCTTCTTTAATATACAGGGAAATGGAGTTGCTTTTAATGCCTAAAAATTCAGGGATAATAGACAATGTTCCCTTGGTTCAATGGCCTCTGTTCCTTCTAGCAAGCAAGGTTGCTATCAGAAACTATAACACTTGTTTTGTTTCTATGCTAGTTAAGTATGCACATATTGTTATTTCTCTTCCTGGTATGTATGTCTTTTGCCTCTTGCACAGATATTTCTTGCTAAAGATACTGCTATCGAGGGTAAAGAGTCCAGACTTTCGCAAGAAGAGCTATGGGACAGGATTTTAAGGGACGATTACATGAAATATGCTGTTCAAGAGTGCTATTATACCCTCAAGTTAGTCCTCACATCTGTGTTGGATACTGAGGGTAAGAAGTGGTAAGTTGATGCCTTCAGGAAAATACTTGTGGCTTGCAAGTTATTTGGTCAGAAAGATTCATCTCTCTTCTTGCGCCATTGCAGGGTTGAGAGAATATATGACGAGATTCAGAGAAGCATAGCTAATAGGAGCATACTTGTTGATATTGAATTGAATAAGCTACCACTAATGATTCAGAAAGTTACTGCACTATTGGGAATACTGGTTTGTATTTGAAGTTCCATCCATTGCAGATCATTTGTTTTGTTGTTGTACATATGGCGTAGTTTCAATTCTCATACAACAGGGATGCTTGTTACTCTCCTATTACTAGTACACTGCATATATAAAGAACAATATAATGGGCCTAAGCTTATAAAGCCCAGGGTTTCTAAACTAGATTTCAAATTTTTACTCTCTTTAAGCTTGCCCATAAGTTGGAGCAATTTACATACTCTTTGTTTGATACAATACTTGTCACCAGATACTAAAAAATGGAATCTTGAACTCGTTTTCATGGTTTTCTAAGGCGTTTGAGGGGGTCTGCCTTGAAGTGGGAGTGTTAAAGGCGATGGATTTAAGCCTTATGTTGGCATTTTGAGGCTTACGCCCTAGGTGGATGAGGCATACAGAGGCACATAAGGAACAAGACTTAAACAAGGCTTAAGCTTCGGGTTTTATCATGATTTTGTGAAAGTTCATAAAAGCTATTGGGCTTTAACATTTATATTATATACTTTGCTTTATTTTTGCTTTTTTGGCTTTTCTAACAAGCACAATGTACCACTAAAAAAATAAACAACCACAATGTAAATAGTAAATAGTAAAAATCTAGATTTATTTTGATAAAACCTAGGAGCCAATTAACAAAAATGCCACCCTTCCGTTTCTCACTCTCAATCTTCTACTTCCCTCCCGTTCAGCTACAAGCCGACAATTATATTTGTCTTGGTTTACAGTCTTCATTTCTTCAACCAGGTCTCATTGCCTTTTCTCTTCTTTGTTTCTTTTAACACTAAGTTCCTCTGATCAGTGCAACCCCCACCCCAATATTCCTCTTTTTCTCATCTGCCCTCTTTATTTAATCTCTTTTTTAATTGAGATTTTTAGTTTGTAGCTTTTCGTATTTGAGAATTATTCTATTATTTTATTACTTCATTTACTTATTTACTTGTTGTCTTATCGGTATTTCATTAGATTATATTCTCATAGTTTTTGGCCGTTAAACATTGTTTGATTACGTTTTTTAAAATTTTAAAAATCTGTTTTTAAGTGTATATTACTTGTAATAATTTATAAATGCTGTAAAGGTAATACTCTCTTTTACAGTATGAGTTATGGATTCTATTTTATTATTTTATATTTTTATTTAAAGTAAAGTGAGGCTTACACATTGTCACTCAAGGCTTTATGCCTCATGTCATTGAGAGTAGAGACCCACCACTACGAGGCCCGATTTTACCTTTCATAACCTTGCTCGTTCTGATATGAACTTTAACTTGTACTTGCAGCTTTAACTTATCTGTCAGTCACATCAGTGTATACAGTTGAACCCCATCCTTCTGTTTCTTCGTTAATCTTCTTTTCTTCATTGTCGAGGACATAACATATCGGTTGGTGTTGATGATGACATTTAAAGACAATATCAAATGCTTAATTACAGAGATTGTTCACGACATCAATTTAATTTTTTTATATGAAAATTGATGAAAATATGAGTAGATTTGCCGTAAGCTTGCAAGTGGAGTAAGCTTCTCGAAGTTGTGCGTAATTGGAATTTTACTGAAGAATGGCAATGCTTAGGAAATGATGAGCCTCTATTGGTAAGACTATGATAAGAGATTCCACAACAAAGGTGTACAGCACATGGTTACTGTTCATTGTGACGGATTGGGCTTCTAGGCTATTTTTGGATTAGACTCTAGTACACTAGAGGGTGTATTGAATAACAATGCTACTTTTCATTTATATAAACTTTTGACTTACAATTTGACATTTCTAGAGGCTAAAGGCTAATTAGGCCTGATAAAAACTGACCCGACCCAAAAATATTGGGTTTTGAACAAAGGTTTTGTTGACAACACCCGAAATGACCTGCTAAAAATGGGTCAAACTCGACCAAACCCAAACCCGACCTAACCGACCCGCTAATTTAATAATTTTACAAAATAATATATTTTAATATGGAAAATAATGTAATAAAAATAAGATTAAGTTTTTTATTTTTTTCTTATTACTCAATTTTAGTGTATAAATATATATTTTGACACAAGTTTTCACATAGTTATCTTATATTTTTTCAAAAGTGATGCATTTTTAATTTTTTACTATTCATTACATTGTTAAACATATCTAAAAAGGAATTAAAAATTCAAAATAAATATTCTAAGACGTTTAATATATGTATTTTGATATTTTATTGGTTTTTTAGTGCAAAATGCAAGTATGAATTTAAAAACTATTAAAATAAATCTAATTACCCGTCGGGTCGACCCGAACCCGATGACATTGGGTCATGAACATGTAGTTCTTAACCCGAACCCAAACTTACCCAAACCTGATATAATCCAAATCAGAAGTGGTCGAACCCAAACCCGACCCGACCGACCGATTTGCCAGCTCTAAGGCTAATACAAGTTCTTTCATAGAGATATTCTCAACCTGAATTGAGTGAAACAAAGCACTTGTTCTCTTTGCCTCTAAAATGTGATTTGATTGAATACTTTAAGATCTGTTTGAATTTTTCTTGTCTAGTCTGACTTGATTTGCTCTAATCTGAATGTTTTTTGTATTGTCTAATTTTCTTATATGAAATATTAATGCTTGCTATGGTCATGTCTAATGTTTTTTATTTGGTCTCATATGATTTTTTATGGTCTGATATGTGGTTTGATTAAGGTAAGAATAAGTAATATGCGAAAGGGTTAGTTAAATAAAACACCTAAACTATAGGACATATACTTTCTTTACCTTGAGTGAAATCGTTGTATGTTCTATGAAAAAAGGAGTCTGCTATCCGTCTCAAGCATGGCATTTTTAGTTCTCCCACTTGGATTTTAAGATAATGCATGGTAAAAAAAGAAATAGCTGATGTTTAATTAATTGTCCATTGCTTTCGTCAACCTATGACGAGCTGATATGTTATTTTGCACACTCTGCTGTTGTCTTTCCCTTTTAACTTCTAAAATGGTTTTTATATGGTTCTTTCTAACCTTCACAATTTTGTGTACTATCTAATCATGGTTGAGGTTGTATTGTATTTTCTTTTGTGTGTGTGCCACATATGTGCATATATTATTTTAACTTTTGTTTTTGAGATAAATGATGTGATTTGGACATATGATGAAATTCTATTTTGTAGAAGGAAGAACATTCTCCGAAACAGGAAAGTGGTGCTGTTAATGCCATGCAAGATCTTTATGATATTGTCCGTTGTGATGTTCTTCATGTCAACATGAGGTACTATTGTGGTTGTTATTGGAATTTGTATTTTTGGGAAAATTTGGGAACCATCACAACTTTGATTAACCTTTTATTCATAATTATAAATTGTAGAATCTTGTAATCTATATTAACTCACTAATGGTTTCATGTCTCTAGCAAGACTATTTTGATGATCACTTCATAAATCCCTTGTAAGAGAGTAAGTAAAAAGGTAAACATTTCTGTGGTGAGAGATAGTGTGTGGTTATAATGCTGAATAGAATCATATTATTGGGTTTTTTGTCGATGCTGTTGTTTTTTATTAATTGGTTTCATGTAGAAGTTTTTTAGGGAGGGGAGGGAGTAAAGCAGCGTGAGGGAGTAATGTTGCTGTTCCAACGGCATTATCCACACCTCCTCATAATAATGGGTTTACATGACCATGTACCATTAAATTGTGTACCACAAAGTTGTTGGGAAATTGACCTTTCTCGATTCACTGCTTCATATATGCTCTTGTACTCTCATTCACAGTAAGGAATAATGTGGAAAGTATTTTTTTATTGTATAGTGAAGTGTACCACTTAGAGGGGTATGTTAGAGAGTCTTGTATTGAACATTTATTAGAGAACGACCAATCAATAAAATCTTGTGTTAAACTAGTTAATCGAATCAATTCATTCTTTTCTAATGTGGTTTTGCTCAAATGTCTTATGCCTAGACCTCGACAAATGTCACACAAACAGAATGGCCTGAAAGCAAACCAGAATTGATACGTCGACATTCGAAAAGGCCATAGCACTTTACTCATAGTGAACCCGAACCTGAAAATGACCCATATTGAACCGCCACAAACGTTTTTCATGAAAGTTTTTTGTCTTATGATGACAATCTTTTTTCCACCAAAAATCATAGAACCTGTAGTTAACAACCTATAGTTACCAACACCTTGCTCGATTCGACAGAATCTTGTTGACCTAAAATATAACTCGATCCAAACCAGAAGCAAATGAACCCATTGCCAGGTCTACGAATGGCTAATTTAGGGACCCCAACCCAATTTTGAGTTCTTTTAATCAACCCTTCCGTCCTAAAAGGTTGCACATGTGACCCGGCCTGATGATTAAAAAAAGGTGAATTTGCGTGGTTGGGATTTATGTAGAGGAGAGCTAACACAAGCTACACAAATCTTTTCTTGAAAGAAACTAGAACCTTGCTATTGGATTAGCGAAAAAAATAAATTGGCGTTTTTGGGATTAAGAGTATTCGAGTCTAGTTTTCTAAATTCAGTGAGGACATCAATGGTTATTGCGCCACTCGAGTTTCCATCATGAGTTTGTGAAAGCTCAATTACTTTGTGAGTAGTATCCGTACGCCCAAGTTTTATCCCCCAAATATACTTTAGCACTCCCAATATATTGCACAAGTACTGCTCTTTTATTGAACTTCACAATGGTATACTTTCCTCTCTCAATTCAGATGCTATTTACAAATGCTTGAGTTACTGTCATTTTGTAGCTCCTTTATCATTATTCTTATTGTTATTTATCCTAAATTAGTCTTAGATGTCTTCAACAACAACAACAACAAACCAGTGTAATCTCTCAAGTGGGGTCTCGAGAGGTATGATGTAGATCAACCTTACCTATTCCGGTGCGGAGTGTAGATAATATTTCTTATAGATCCTCGACTCAAAAGAAATAGTGGTTATAGGTTTGCAAGAGAATATGATAATAACATAACATGATGAATTACAAATGGAGCATCACATTATAATACACATAAGGATGAAAATCATGAAACTCTATGCGTACCCTAAAAGAATACTTTTACAATGAGATGTGGGGGTTAGGTCCCCCACCTCTCAGTCAAGTGTGACAAACATTCAACCATGAACTACCCTTCAATTGTTATTCTTGATCCCCAAACCTTCCTAGTTAAGGTCATGTCTTCAGTCATCTTAAGTTCAGCCGTGTCATTTCTAATTATGGCCCCGAGTTATTCTCGAGCCTGCCTCCATGTCTCTTAATTATCACAATTACCAAACTCTGACACCCCGAACAAGCACATCCTCCGAAACCATGACGACTTTTTCATCTTGTTTCCCAGGGAGACCGACTCACCTTTGTCGTGTATAACTCCATTTCTAATGATATATCTTTTACTATGACTGCACATCTATCTGAGTATTCTCAGAACTTACCTTCCAGTCTAACTGGAAACTTGTTGCAATGCACTTGAGATGCGAGCCTCCATTCTATCCACCATGCTCGAATACGGTGTGTGACATCATCGCCAATCTCCCATTCCCCTGTTTTACGGATCAAAGGTACTTAAAACTCTCTCTTTTTGGTAAAGCTTGTGCTTCAATATTCACTTGCACCTCCAACTCTTGCACTCTGGTACTCCATGTTGGTCTTGCTTGACTTCAACCCTTCATATTGTAAGGCCGTTCTACAAACTTTCAGTCTATCAAAGACGTTTTGGCAAACTGAATTATCTTGGTATCACCAGACCTGATATAACTTTTGCAGTTAGTGTTGTAAGTCATTTTCTTAATATTTCCAGTTGAAGTTATTGGAATGCAGTCATTCAGTTCTGAAGTATATTATGGTGTCCCTGAAGGGTTTTATTGTACGAGAATAAAGTCCACAGCCACATAATTGCCTACTCTGATGCAAACAGGGATCTCCTAGTGACAGAAGATCACTTCTGGGTTCTGTGTTTTCGTTGGAGTTTGTTTTCATTTTTGGAAAAATGAAAAGCATGACAATATTTCCAGATCAAGTGTTGAATTACTTGAGTCACAGTATCAGGTTGTGGCTCTTAGCTGGTGTGAAATCATCTAGTTAAAGACTTAAAGTACTATTTTCATCAAGAGTTATGACACAAGACAGCTAACAACTCCATGAAATTATTTTCGGATAGTCAATCATCTTTGAGACAGTTTATCCAAGGAAATTAGCACGTTATTTGTCGGATTTGGTGATCAACTTGCGGATGAACTTCACCAATTCTTATGCACACAGCCTCACTTGTACAAGCTTTGTACCCTATGGTGATGATGCACCTGATGACCGGATAACTGGGTTGAGTGGGATTGTAGATGCATTTTACTCTTAAGTAGCCTTTCTTATTCTTTCCATTTTGTTACGTTGTGTAAATCTTATTTTTGAGGTAACTCATTTGTACAAGCTTTGTACCCTGTGGTGTTTATGCACCTGATCCGTAGGTTGAGTGGGATTGTAGATAAGTTTCACTCTTAAGTAGCATTTCTTATTCTTTCCATTTTGTTAAGTTGTGTAAATCTTATTTATTTTTATCCATACGAGCCAAGCTCTTCAAATGAGGTAACTTATCCCCGACTCCAAATGTATAAACTCTTTATTTAAGGAACCTTGTAAAATGTTAGAAATGAGATATACTACATTCCTTTCTACTATTCTTTGATCAGATATTCAACTGTATAGTTGTATACATTGTTTCTGTGAATTAGCTTGCATTTTTACTCACTCCATTATGCATTCTGTGTTCTGTGTTCTGTGTTAAATATCTGAGACTTTTTTTCAGCAAGCACCTCGAGACATGGAATGATTTGTTAAAAGCTAGGAATGAAGGTCGCTTATTTCAGAATTTGAAGTGGCCGAGAGATGCTGATTTGGTGTGTGATAGTTGTATATGGAGTATAATGCACCTTTTTTGTTCAATGTTTGGCACCACCTCATCTGTTCTAATACCTTTTAGTTATGTACATGACCATGTTATGCATTTAGAGGGCTCAAGTTAGAAGGCTTTATTCACTTCTCACCATCAAGGACTCTGCTCACAATATCCCAAGGAATCTTGAGGCCAGACGTCGGCTGGAATTCTTCACGAACTCCCTTTTCATGGAGATGCCAGTAGCAAAACCTGTTCGTGAGATGTTGTCCTTCAGGCAATGATCTTCTATTTCTTTGGCTTGATTCTAGACCATTTACTAAATTTTGACTCTATTTTTATGTGCTTGCAGTGTGTTCACACCATATTACTCTGAGACTGTCCTGTACAGCATGTCTGAACTCCTTAAAAGAAATGAAGACGGGATCTCAACTTTGTTTTACCTACAAAAGATATATCCAGGTATATAACTTTCTTATCTGGTGTGACAACTGACAAAGTACCTTCTTTGATAGGATATGTATTTGACAACAGCTCTCCCCTTCCCCCTCCTCCAAAGCTAGAGCATATTAAAGTATGTTCCACGTTTCAAATTTTCAAATATAAAAGGATAATGAATCTTTAATATTGAAAATTGTAAAAACATGAACTTGAGGTCTGAACTTAGAAACTTAAATTCCACAACTTTCGCAGTAGTGAGGTAGTGTCACACTAGCATCTTTAGCTTAAACTTGTTTTTTCAATTGAACTTTGTGAAAAGTTAAGATAATATTTCTTTATCTTGATAGAAAATGAAGAAGAATTAAGGGATATATAGGCTGCGAATTTATTATAATGACATTGATGACATCATACTCTGTATTTCTTAACAATATTCCACACTTCTCATGCTGGAGCATATATAATTTGTTTGAATGTTTTTACAAATGCAAGTTTGTATGGTACCTCTAAGTGATTTTGTTTGATGAGTACTAAGGTAGTGGGTGACTATGATCTTCTCTCGGATAAATTGACAATCAATTTCAATGTGGGTGTGGCTGCTCATCTCAGACTGTACTTGATGTGATGGGTACTGATGCTTGAAAATCTCACTTTAACCAAATTGGTTCTTTGCTCCCATATAATATTTCTGGGAAGAAGAGTTTGTGTTTCATTGAGAACCAATAAGCTCTCACATGCAGCTCGAGCCACCATTTCTTTGTATTCTGCTTCTGCACTTGATTTGGTAACCGAATCTTGTTTCAGCTCTTCCACAGGATTAAGTTCCCATCCATCAAGATATAATACCCAGATGTGGCCCCTAACATCATCGTAGTATGCCACAATATTGCCATGACTTTTATCTTCATAGAGTAATCTTTGCCCTAATGTGTTTTCGATATACATAAAACTCGTATAGTAGCATGCGAATGATCATTACATTGTTTGTTAAGGAATTGACTGCTTATTTAATGGTAAATGAAATGTGCATGCTCAAGTGATTGTGAGATAATTCAATTTTTCGATGGCAGTGTGTATTTCTCTACTCTATGAGCAACTCTATACTGGAAGGAATTAATAGGTATATCCACAGGGGTACAAAGTACAACCCAACATACCAGATATTGTAATCAATTATTGATGTTAGAACTATCTATGGAATTTTTAGAATATAAACAAATCCCGATAGTAAAATACGTTGAAATATATTCAAGTCCATGTAGAATTAATACAATCCATGAATTGAATGCATTTGCCTTTTGAGAGCTATTATTAGATTTCAAAACATTACTAATCCCCTTCCGGCTTTCCTTTGATCAAGCATGTAATGATCATGAGTGCTCATGTGACCCTTTCAGGCTTTCCTTTGAGCCTAGCTTTTGAAAATTTTATTACCCCTACCTGGACCTAGCATAATTTTTAAAAGGGAATCTGATAAAGCTTGAGTCGAATTGATTGAATTTAGAATGAAAAAGTGTACATCAAGTCCCAATTCGAGAAGGGATAGTCTCCAGACTCTCAAAGGAAAATATAGTGAAAAATAATCACACCAGAAAATAACATGACTCAAGCAATAAATCCCACTCCGAGGGGAGATGGGTTACTGCTACGTAACCACCCACTCAGCCATTTAGTGGGTTGTTTGAAATGCCCATTAACATTTTGAGCTGCTCCACTTCTGCCGGCCCACCCTGTGCCATCTTCTTTTTCCTTCTTGAATACACCAATCTGATTGGAGGCTTATCAGAATCCAAATATAGAATTTTAACTTTAGGGTTCTATATGTTGTGGCCTTTAATACTCAATTGGTCATTGTTATATCTGGACTTGTTTGTTATTTTTTCCTATACAGGTTGGTTCATTATTGTGAGTATTTTGTAGTGTCAATGGTTCATGAGAAAGAAATTAATGTTGAATGCAGATGAGTGGAGAAACTTCCTTACTCGGATTGGCCGTGATGAAAACACATCAGAATCAGATCTTAGAAATAATGCCAATGATATTCTTGAGTTGCGTTTTTGGGCTTCATACAGAGGGCAAACATTGGCTAGGACTGGTACGCGTTTCATTCATATATTTGCCGTCTTATGCCACCAATGTTTTGTCACCTACAACCTATGCTGCGTTCAGCTGTTTCTACATCAAAACCCATAATAATCCCAAGCCTGTTGGGGTATGAAGGTGAAGATGTACAAAAAACAGAGCGTGTCTTTTCATTGGACCTTTTGATGCATTGTTGCTTTTACTACCTAAAACTTCATAGAAAGTAATTAGCAAAAAAAGTTTAATGCGTCATTTTTTTTAGTCCGCTATTACTTGAAGTAAAAACATTGTCAGTAACAACTCTTTTAGCTCCAATGGCATGGATGCTTGCATTCAACTCTTTATGTTAACAAATAATGAATGAAGTAATTTTTGCATTTCGTTTTTGTTCCCTAAATTTTCCTTGCTCAATCAATGAATAAACTAGAAATAAAAAAGTGGTTTGCTAGGAAAATCAATTTTTTACTAAGTGGAAACACAATATGGTGTGTGCTCATTTTTATTTGGTTACTTTTAAAGGAGAAAGGGTGAGAATGTAGCTCAGAAAATATATTGAGATTTGTAAAAAAAATAAATGGCTTATATTTTGAACTTTTTTTAGATGTGCTTATTCTTATACTCTATGATTTTGGTTTACAAACACAATTCTTTGGGTTTTGCAGTGCGTGGAATGATGTACTACCGAAAAGCTCTCATGCTTCAAGCATATTTGGAAAGGGTGGCAGCTCAAGGTTATCATATACGAGATGAAGTTATTATGTTCTAATGTTCTCTTTCTCATTAGTCATTACTGTGGTATTTTACTAATAATACTCTGGTATATGCATCTTTAGATTCTGAGGCTGCAATTTCACAGAGCAAAGCAACTGATACCCAAGGTTTTGAGTTGTCTCCTGAAGCAAGAGCTCAAGTAGATCTCAAATTTACCTATGTAGTTACCTGCCAAATATATGGGAAACAGAAAGAGAATCAAAAGCCTGAGGCTGCGGATATTGCATTACTAATGCAAAGGTGATCAAATGGCAATCTCTTTTATTTAGAAATTAATTGATGATAACCTCTTACCTTACACAGAAAGCCTAAGAGCATGTTCTCTTCGTCTTATCTCATTAGTTTGATATATTAAGGTCTGATATGACTGAAATCTTTCTAGTCTAGTCTCATTTGATTCCAATTAAAGTTAAAGTTGTATATGTTTCTGATTTGGTGTGGTCTCATCTGAAGTTTTCGATCGTAATCTGATTCGAATACTAATAATCAATAAGTAATAACTCTCATTCATCAATATCTGAGTTTCATTCATTGCGATCCATTTTTGTAGAAATGAAGCACTTCGAGTTGCTTTCATTGATGAGGTTGAGACATTGATTGAAGGAAAAGTGCACAAAGAATACTTCTCGAAACTTGTGAAGGCTGACATCAATGGGAAAGATAAGGTTTGTCTTTTTATAACTATTTTTTGTTATTACTCCGAGTTCTTTTACTTGACTAGGTGCACATCTTTGTTGTTTTCTATTAACAAATTTAAAAGAGCTTGCATTTCTTCTGTTTTTGACAAATTCAGAAGAACTTGCAAGGTGCGTTACTTTGCCACTCTACGCATGGTTTTTATGTTGTCCACTATTTGACCTTGGAAAGGGGTGACCGGAGTAAGCGATGATGCATCACGCCGACAGATCTGAGATTTAAAAACCTTAACATATGCTTGCCGGATTTCAGATCAAATAATTCCAACCTATCGCGACTATCGTGACATAGATCTGCTCTTCCCTCCACCAGAGGGAGGTAGATGTGCCATTGTTGCCGCCGGTGCCCTATTTAGTATGCTTTAGATGCTTGTAGTTGGGAAAATTCCTCAATTAGTACTAAAACATATTCATTTTCTTTAACTATAACCATGTGTTTTTATTTCCTTAACTAGTATTTACTTAATTAATAATTAATTAATAATAAATATGAATATACCAAAATGTCCCTTTGGGTTAAAACTCTAATTTTAAACCATATCCATTTGATCCCTGCCTGCCATGAATCCCACCTCACTGCCGCCTGCCACCCATTGCGCTCGCCACCGCTACCACTTGCCATTGCTTGTTACCGACTTCTGCCTTCACTGTCTTTTACCTTTCATTGTCGCTTCTGTCTATTTCCCTCTACCGTTCACTGTATTTATTGCCCTTTGTCATTCACTATCTTCATTTCCCTCTGCCTTCACTGTCATTTATTGTCTACTATGCCTTCACTGCCATCTGTCATCCTTGCAATCTCAATGTCTTTTGTCATCTTCAATAATATTCACTACAATGCCTAACAGACCATCACGGAGACACTCGGGATGGACATTATACACTATGTCCATAGTCCTATCCATGAAAAAAGAACAAATTCCATCCTTTTAATGTCCATGCGGTGTTGATAGTACGAGTCAATGAAGAAAATTTGAAAAAACAGAAAGGAAAAAAGAACATAATCTTGGAACAAAAATAATGAATTTCTGCACCTCAGCACTCCCAATTGAGATTATTAATCTCATGGCAGTTGGAATCTAGGTAGGGGTTCTACAATTTACTGAGCTTTCATGGCCACACCTTAACACTCTTGATTGGGATTATTGAGCGCCCATGAATTTAATTTGTTGAACGGCGGGTTCAAGAGCTCGAGCTTGGAAGCGCCTGAGATGTTGGTTGGGACTTGGGATATTGCAAGAGAAAAATTGGAGGAGAGATCTTGAAAGTGCAGACTTGGGGTGAGGCGTGGTGGGAGCCACTAAGATGGGAGGTGCGATGGCGGCGACGATTGGGAGGCGCAGCGGTGGTGGTTGGGAATGGAGTAGGCTGAGTAGCTATTGCGGCAGTTGTTAATGGAGTTGTGTAAGAAAAGAAGGTTGGACAGGGTTTGAAGTTTTATAATTAATATGGAATGTATAGTGTATATGGATAAAATGGTAAATAGAAATCATGAATAAATATTTAATTAAATATTTAAGTCCACTCTTGGAAAAAACATAACAAGTCCTATTTAGGGAATTTGTGGTTTTGTTTTGCTCCTTTCGATTTCCCATGTTCAGTTTCTTTTCATTTTTTATTTTTTTAATTTTCTTATTTATTTTACCTTTTTCGGGCGGGGGTGGGCCAAGGGATGGGGATGTTATGTTTGTTTCTGTTTTTTTACTCTGTAATTAATACAGAGTACATCACACTACATAGACTTGAAATATTCTTCCTTATCTTCCAATTTATCACTTTAGTTTTTACCTTCCTTTTAAGACCTTATCTAAATAATGTTTCTATTTACCCCTAGACTTACGTTTTCTTTTTTTTATATTTTGATATGAATATTAATAAAAATATTGTTATCATTATTATTAAGATTATGGCTATGATTATTATTATTACTATAATCATTATTATTATCATTTTTAATTTCCTATTACTAGTCTTATTCTATTTTAGTCAATATCCCTAAATAAGGATTCATGTTTCCTAGTATGATTATGATAGGTGTCTTGTAAGGTGTTGCCCATTTATACTCACACAATGATTAATGAAATGATGAATGGTTGAAGTCAAATATCTAATAATGAGATTTTAGTCACCACGTGCTCTCCCTTCCTAGTCACAAACAGGGAAAGATATTCTTCTTCCACGTTCGCTAATACATTTGTAACAATTTGGTATTAGAACCATTTTCATTCCTACCCTTTTTATCTCTCTTGCTCCTTTGTTTTTTTTTTCAATTAGAAAATATCAACAATAGAAAAGTGGTTGGATAATTTTGTGTTTGATGTTTTTGTAGCGTGAGATGGTGGGGGGTTCTAGCTAGTAAATTCTCGCATCGTATTTTAATTTTTTATTTTTCTGATGTATTGTTTTGAAACTAGAAAAAGCATACAAAGAAGTTGTAAAAAAGTCAGAAAAATTGAGTTTCAGACTTTGTGCATCTTTGTTTCTAAATTATTGTTCTGTTGATGAGTATGGTTTATACTGTGAATTTGCCAAGAGATCAGTTCAACATATTGAAAGATGTCGCAACATGAATATCAATATCAATTGCAATATCCACAGCCTCTTCCACCATTACCACCCTTGGGTCAATTTTTTTATGGCTATTTGATACAGTATGTTCTTCAATATGGAGCCAAAAAAAACTTTATCTGTTACTATGTCCAGTCCTACTCTTCTACTGTCGTTACTGCCAGGCTTATCGATGGCGCAAATGGCATGCACCATATATGCGCCATTGGCCATTGGGCTCATAATCACCACAAATCTGGTTGTGGCAACCAGTGTCCCCATGGCAATGCCATTTTGGCGCCATCCCCATTCGTGCGCCATTTTTTTTTGCCCAAAGTTTTTTAGTCCAGTATATTTGGGCCCAATCCAAGAAAACCCTTTATTGAGATTGACAATCATCTCTCACTCTCTCCAGTCGTTCATCTTCTTCACACAGAACGTCGCCATCACAACTTTTCTTCTTCTTTGCTAGTCGCGGCTTTAGAAGGGAAGAATGTTGCGTGTTGCGCGACTCTGATATGAGATCATTGCACTCTGCTACATGCCTCTCTCTGCAACCTCTGACTTCCTGGACCTCTTGGGAGTGATGATAAGACATTCATATTTTAAATTGCTAGATCAAAGTTTTTATCAACTTAATTTTGAATTAAGTTTTATGTTTTGCTTAAGTTATTTTAATACTAGCACCTTCAGGTGTTTTGGAATGATTTTTTTGTCGTGCTTTTATTTTCAACATGACGATTTAGATCAAGTACTCTATTATTTTTTATTCATTTTATGTCTCATACATTTGTGAATTTATTAAATTGGTTGTGTGACTTGTGTCCTGTGGCGATGCCATATATGCGTCATGGCCATCGCCATGCGCCATGAAAGCTATTTACCACATAAACATGCAGAAGCAATTACTGAAGTTGTAACTGAGTCGCAAAAGACCACTGTCATTTAATCCACTTTATTTGGCAAGCCAAAAATTCATGGTTGGTTATGCACATGCCAGTTGAGGAATAATGGTGTAGTAATTGTCTATTTCGCAACAGGCAAGTCACATCTAGCTTTGCAAAGTTCATCACTTAGAGTGTCACGGTAATTCTCACGGTACTCTACTAAACGAGTGCTTATATTTTGATGTCGTTTGTTCGTGGAAAGTGCTGGTGCAACGTATCTCTCTCTTCACAGCTTGAGGACAAGCTTGATGTTCGGAGGGGTGTAATGATACATTCATTAATATCATTCTTGTTACTATTGGTGTTGGTGATGATGATGTTGTTGTTATTATTATTTTGAGTAGATTCTTATTATTATTATTATTATTGTTATTACTATTATTATTATTATTATTATTATTATTAGTCTCCTATTAGTAGTTTTATTCTATTTTAGTAAATATCCCTAAATCTGGATTCATGTTTTCTTCTATTATTATGGTAGGTTTCTTCACTTGCTTGTAAGGCTTTGCCTTTTTATACTCAGACAATCATTAATAAAGTTATGAATGGTTGACATCAAATATCTATTTATGAGAAGTTAGTCACAGATTGCTCTCCCCTCCTTTTTTGGGTACGGGCAAAGAAGGATATTCTTCTTCAATGTTTGCGTATGTGTTCTGCAACTAAGTTTTGTTTCAACACCCATTGATGTTTATTCTATTAGTTTAGCAACTATATTTTGGGTTAGATATGGGTATTATACTTATTTACTATATATCTACTCAACGCGACTTGCCGACGTGACAACCATGGCTTTCTGAAATCAAAGCCTCTACATGGCAACGTTATCTGGAGGAATGGAACAAGGAAAAATCCATAAACAGAAAGATTCCACCAAACCGAAATAATTTGCCAAATGTAGCCATTTCAGTCATATTTTATGTTCTAATTGCTGTTAGAATCATTACAGGAAATATATTCTGTGAAATTGCCTGGAAATCCAAAGCTTGGTGAAGGGAAACCTGAAAATCAAAATCATGCTGTTATATTTACACGTGGAAATGCAATACAGACCATTGATATGAATCAGGTGACTAATAATTTTTATATTGATATTGACCTTAATGTTATTTACAGGGCAAATTGATAGTATATATTTTTTTATTTATTTCTCTTTGTATGTGGACAGGATAATTACTTTGAGGAGGCTTTGAAGGTCAGAAATCTTCTTGAAGAATTTTACCGTGACCATGGAGTTCGCCCCCCTACTATTCTTGGTGTTAGGGAGCATGTGTTTACTGGAAGGTATGGTATTAGAGGCATTTTGTCCCTTACAGAGTTCATTTATTTAGGCTTCTGACTCTTTAAACTTGTGCATCTTCTCAGTGTTTCTTCTTTAGCATCCTTCATGTCTAATCAGGAATCTAGCTTTGTGACTCTTGGCCAACGTGTTCTAGCAAATCCTTTGAAGTGAGTTCACATTAATCGTGAATATTTGTTGTTGCATGGCATTTACAGAGTAATCATGAAACTATGAAAGAAAAGTCTGTCTAACTTGTATTTGAAATGATCATCAGGGTTCGTATGCATTATGGTCATCCAGATGTCTTTGATAGACTATTCCATATAACTAGGGGTGGTATCAGCAAAGCATCTCGCGTCATAAATATTAGTGAAGATATTTTTTCTGGTAAATTTATTTCACATTTAAGGGGATTTTATTTCATAATTTAATGTTATTGTGTTGAATTTTAATCTTATGGGTGTAGAGTTTGGGAAATATACTATATTAACAGCGTGTTAATCCTTACTTAATGCTCTATATTTATATGCATGGCCTATAGTTAACATTTATTGAGTTTATTTAAAACATTCCTAGTCAAATTGGAGCATATAAGTTACAGCTTACAAGTTACATAGACAATGTTTGCCACCAAAAAAACCATTTCGTATGTCTCAGAAAGACTTAAAACCCTGGATATCTCTTCCAATTAATCTACTGATTTTACGAAGAATGATGCACCTAGGCATAATCTATTACATATTTACATGGTGAGAAAAGATAACCATTCTTTCAACTTTAGATTTGTCCTTTCCATGACATACAAGATGCTACTACCTAAGTTATCAGACGACATACAAGCTGGAAGTTTACAGCTTGAGTTGCCTTCCTCCACCTCTGGCCTCTGCTCTTTCTACTACGACAGCACATGGAATTCCTTGTGGCATTTGGAGGAATTCCTAGCTTTGAGATGCTGCGGCCTGTCTAATCCGGAACCCATACGTTGGAGTATATTTTGCCATGGAGTAGATCTTCTTAAACTATTAAGTTGAAAGAAAGAGATAAAAAATGAAGGGAGAAAAAGAATAATGGAAAAAGAAGATGGCATGTACAAATCTGATGGAAGAAGAAGAATCCACAGGGAAGAATGAAGAAAGAATGAAAATGTGATGGCTGTCGGCGGATAAATCTAGAGTTAGAGTGGAGTAATGAGGGAAAAGAATGAAAAAGGGTAAATAAGGTATTTTACACAATGATTTGCCCAATAAGGAAATGGAAAGAAAACTTTAAAATGGTCCAAAAAGGAATAATTAATGAAACCCTAGACTCATAACATCCATGTACCTATAATAATCCTCAACAATTGTGGCAATGTATTATAAGCATGAAGTGGATTCGACACAAGTTCATAGTGGATCAAATCAGCTTATGCGCGTAAGTTTGTAATGTAACGACAGGTTGTAATGCCTTTTCTTTATATCAACTAAAATGCAGGATTCAATTCAACTTTGCGCCAGGGCAATGTTACTCACCACGAATACCTCCAGGTTACTAGATTCTCTCTCGCTGGTTTGTGGAGGTCGTATTTCATGATACTTATCAGCTAATGATATCACTAATGATGTTGTATAGGTTGGCAAGGGACGAGATGTTGGACTCAATCAGATTGCTTTGTTTGAGGGGAAAGTTGCAGGTGGTAACGGGGAACAAGTCCTTAGTAGAGATGTCTACAGGCTTGGTCAGCTTTTTGATTTCTTCAGAATGCTATCGTTCTACTTCACAACTGTGGGATACTACTTTTGTACCATGGTACGCAGTTCTTTCCAATGGAATACATGTAGGGAGCGGCTAAATACACCCCATTAGTTTCTAAATACACCCAACTCCTGCTCAAACTCGCAGAACACAACGAAGGCACTTGACCAACACTAGCTTAGCATCTTGTTTGGCGAGTGTTCTTTGGACACTCCTCATTGACTTCCAACTTCAGTGATTACCAGAACACTCATCATTGTGTTAGGCTGTTAGCAGAGTGTTGGTCGCACAGTACTTCTTCAGCAAACACTAGTGTTTTCTAACACTCTTAAATGTGCTAAATCAATTTTGCTAGATTTATTTTTTTTCTTCAAAATTAGGTGTATCTATTAAACTAGGGGTGCAAATTGCCACATCCTTACTTTTATGAGATGTCATTTACAAGTATTGCTATTGCTTGTTTTGGTCGTCTACATACTTGAACATGTAAATGGCTATTTGCCTCATGTATCTAATGGCTCGCTATCATTTGTTTATGTAGTTAACAGTGCTCAGTGCCTACAGTTTTCTCTATGGGAGAGCCTATTTGGTATGTTCTGATACATAACTACATTTTTTTTATCGCTAAGTCATGGTTCTTAAGGCGTCGCCTAATCGACGCTTAGGCGGTAAGGCGATCTGCCATGGATGCCTTAATGGACGAATCCCATCTGATGTACTGTAATTATTAAATTTTACAAGCTATATTCCTGATGGATGCACCTGAATTTCTTGTCTCAGGCGTTATCTGGGGTTGGTGAAACGATTCAAGAAAGAGCAGATATATTTGATAATGCTGCACTAAATGCTGCTCTCAATGCACAGTTTCTTTTTCAGATTGGTGTATTTAGTGCAGTGCCAATGATTTTGGGTTTCATCTTGGAACAAGGATTCCTGAGAGTATGTTATTCATCTCTTGATTTTCAGCTGTTATCATTTCTTCAAAATGCAGCTATTCCTTCAAAAAGTTTCTGTTTTGTATAATTGTTATTCATTTCTTTGGAAATAAATGCCAGAACATCGTGCCTGCCAATTTTGTGTCTGCATTTTGTATTCAAAAAACATCAACATTAAACCCAGCCTAATCCCAACTCCGCTGGGGGTGTGGGGAGTCAAGAAAGCAGAGGCTGTATCGTTAGACTCTTGATGTGTTGATGCATTAAAACGCCATTGGAAGTTAAGAGACAAGAGAAGTTCAATTTTTCATTTTGATTTAGTTCATTATGTTCTCAAAGCTTAAACATTGTCAGACATGACTCTATTAGCATGTCTGACAATGTTTCTTCCCACATGACTCGAAGCTAAATTATTGGACAAGCTAAATATTTTATATACTCCATTTAATAATTTGTTCTCAGTTACCTTGGGGTCTCCGATTTCCTTATTTGGCATTTTTAAAATGTAAAATGTTGTACTTGCAACATATTTCTCCAATTTCATTCCCCCCCCCCCTCCCCTGCCCATTTTCCGTAGCCACATCTTCTTTGCATCTCGGCCTTTTCAGTTCTTTCCTCTAACATCATCTGTTCAACTATTCCCCCTGTCCCAAACTTTTCTTCTTCCACCCAACATCCTCCTTCAAGTCCTCGTCATCTTCTTTATTTCAACTCTCTTCCTCCCCATTTGAGCAGGACCTGAGACGTAGCATGGCATTGCATCTCCGACGGAGCTGCACTGTCGGGTGGTGTCATCTCCGTTGGATCTCACCGGACGGTGTAACCCATGCTTGATTTGGATGGACCTAAGGGTGTAAGCATTGACGGATATTCTTGATCTGAGGGTTTAAGCTGTAATAGCTTTCTGTCAGATCTAAGGACTCTGATTCGAGTCTGTGGTGATGGTGGTCAGCAGCGATGGCTATTCCGGTGGCGGAGTATGCACTGGAGTCGCGATTCATGGGGACATGGCCGGATGGAACGAGCCAGAAGTTCTAGGAGGTGGGCTGATGGCGTAGAGTAGTAGATAGAGAGGGTTGGGTTCAGGGTATTTTAGGAAAGCCAATGTCATCTCACAAAAACTTGTGAAGAAAAATAATGGACAGAGGGAGTATTAAGCATTTTATATTAAGAAATAAAAATTTTCTAAATGCATTTAATTAGTAAATGTTTTGAAAGTATATTACTGCATACTTAGTAAATGTATTGGAAAAATTTGTGAACATATTAAAATTATAAAATGTTTTTGAAAAATATTACTTAACTGTAATAATACTGATCTCTTCAAGATCTCAGGTAAAGTATGAAAATTTTGTGAACCTTTTCATGTTTGTGACTTTCATGTTTCTTTTATGTGCTTATTGATGAGTGTGCTCTTCTATCTTTTTCCTAAGGCTATATTGTTTTTAAAATCACATGCATTTCTCTTATTGGCTCCTTTTATTCTTTCACTGCAGGCAATTGTTAGTTTTGTAACAATGCAGTTTCAACTTTGTACCGTGTTTTTCACTTTCTCTTTGGGCACAAGAACACATTACTTTGGACGGACTATTCTTCATGGTGGAGCTAGGGTATGTTTGCTGTTAAGCTCTATATGCACATGTTACTCTAACTAACATTAGCTTATCAAATAACTTTTATTATTTTCAACAGTATCAAGCAACTGGTAGGGGCTTTGTTGTTCGACACATTAAGTTTTCTGAGAACTATAGGCTCTATGCCCGCAGTCATTTTGCCAAGGGGTCTCTCTCTCTGTCTCTCTCTCTCTCGTATCCTGTTCTTTTGTAATTTTGTCCCTATGGTTCTGCATACGCATGCATTTTAATATATTATGCTTATCCCTACTCGGGGAAAGCTCTAAATATTGTTATTTCACTTTTTCAGAATGGAGATTGTACTTTTGTTGGTTGTATACCTTGCGTATGGCTTTAGCACAGGTGCTTTATCGTACATTCTTCTCACGATTAGCAGCTGGTTCTTGGCTATTTCTTGGCTATTTGCACCATATTTGTTTAATCCATCTGGCTTTGAGTGGCAAAAGTAAGTTTACCTCACTATTCTTCAACACTGTACATAAGCTTTTGTGTTCCATTTTAAAAGTTCATTTTCTGGCCCATTGCAGGACGGTGGAGGACTTCAGAGATTGGACAAACTGGCTTCTGTATAGAGGTGGAATTGGAGTTAAAGGAGAAGAAAGTTGGGAGGCTTGGTGGGATGAGGAGCTGGTATAGTAATTTTTCTTCTAGCTTAATGCAATCTTGCCTATTTCAGTTATTTTTTCTTATCTTCTCTACTTTCTTAACAGGCTCATATTCGAACATTAGGGGGGAGGCTGATGGAAACCATTCTTAGTTTAAGGTTTTTTATATTTCAATATGGCATTGTATACAAGCTACATTTACAGGGAGATAATACATCTCTGACGGTAGAGTTCTCACAGCTGAGCTTTCGTTCTTTATTTACACTTGATCCATATAATCTAACTGACTTTTGCTTAATAATATGGTCAATTGATTGCTTGCCTTAACTTTTTTAGGTTTATGGGTTTTCATGGATTGTATTTGCGGTGCTTTTGATCCTCTTCAAGGTTAGACCACACATATCATTGAGCACTCTGATCTCACAAATTACATACTAATAAATTAAAGGGTTGATTATCACGTGTACTAATATCCTTATCTATACTGCGGTTTAATAGGTGTTCACATTCAGCCAGAAAATATCAGTTAATTTCCAGTTGTTGCTGCGCTTTGTCCAAGGCCTTTCCTTTTTGCTTGCACTAGCTGGTTTAGCCACTGCTGTTGCACTAACTGACCTATCTATTGCGGATGTATTTGCCTGCATATTGGCTTTCATACCCACTGGATGGGGAATTCTCTGTGTAAGTAGAATGAAAACTATTCTCTCTCAGTAACTTTACCATTATGTTTGGTTCAAGGAATTTGAAAGGAAAAGAATTGAAAATGAAGTGGAAGACAGTTTTTCTTGTTTGGTTTAAGGGAAAAAGAAAGGAAAAGTGGAAGGAAAAGAAAATGAGAAGACAAAATATATTAAGTGGAGGGAAAACCAAATTCCTCCCATTTTGGTGAGGAAAATAAGAGAAAAATCATTTTCGTTTCTTTTTCTTCCAAATTCCTTGAACCGAACATAGTGTACATGTTTGGTTCAAGAATTTTAAAATGGAAAAGAAAAGAAAAGAAAATGGGATGGAAAACAATTTTTCATGTTTAGTTAGAGAGGAAAAGAAAAGAAAATTAGAATGAAAAGACAATGAGAAGGCAAAATATACTGAGTAGGGAAAACCAAATTCCTCCCCTTTTGGTGAGGAAAATGAGAGAAAACCGTTTCCTTTTCTTTTCCTTCCAAATTCCTTGAACCAAACATAGTGTTAAAGAATCAATCTTTCCTTTTACCTTGTTGCGCATAATAGTTTAATGCCACCTGAGTATTTGTTGAAGATTGCATGTAAAATTTAAAAGTTTAAGCCTGTCAAACCCTTATTGGGAACAGTTTTTTCATGTTATGGCAACTTTCTTTGTCCAGTGTAGAACACTGTTGGCATGCCAATCGTTTTTTACTACCTAACACCGGTGTGTTTAATGCATTTATTCAGATTGCATCAGCATGGAAACCTCTGGTGAAGAAAATGGGAATGTGGAAATCCATTCGTTCAATCGCCCGTTTATACGATGCCGGGATGGGTATGATTATCTTCATCCCCATTGCATTCTTCTCCTGGTTCCCATTCGTTTCAACCTTCCAAACCCGCCTCATGTTCAACCAAGCTTTCAGTAGAGGTCTCGAGATCTCCCTTATACTTGCGGGGAATAATCCCAACACTGATTTGTGATCAAGCGCAGATAGACCCCTCCTCCACTGCAACTTCTAGGGTCTTCCATTCCTTGTATTTGTGGACTACCCTTATTTCTAGGTTGCTTCATGAATTTAACAAACCAACAGAGTTTTGCATCTACCATTTAATTTTTCTTTTTTCATTAGCATTGTGGCCAAATGTTGTATAAACCTTTCATATTGACTCCTTTGAATTTGTAGGGTCTGAAATCTGTAGAAGTTGAGCCCTTTTTTGAGTAAAAGATGTGTCTTATTTTTAATACGGAGTAAAATCTATGGGGCTCATGTTGTTTTTATCCTGCAGATTTTGTTACATAGGATTGCTTTTCAACTGGTGTTTTGTTTCGTATGAGTTACGCTTTAGGGCTCGTGGTTTTGATTTTGCATCTGTTGATTCTGATTCCCAGGAATCTGGGCTGTCTTAATAAGCTGGTGTGTTATTGTTTTATGAATTTAATTTTGAATTATCGATGATTTCATTAATTAGAACCATTTTTGGTAGTCATTAAGTGTTGAGCTCTAAACACCATTTTTGGTAGTAATTATTGATGATTTAGTTCCCATGAACTAGACTGGTCCTTGGCATTTGACTGGTTGTCGGGGAATGCTCGACCTTCATGGGTTAATGGAAGAACTGATCCCCACCTTGGTGCAATTGTATTTATAGTATTTGTAGGAGCATTACCACCATTTTTTGGGTTTTGCTTCCAAAACGAAGGTTCACCATTACAAAACCTACTAATCTTCCGGACACATCGTAAGTGAGATCAATTACATATCTTGAATTACCAACTCGGTTATTACATCACTCACCTCTTTCCCTCCCGGGAAAGTTTTAGGATATTTCCCAAACAGAGCTGCGTGACGTGTGGCTTTGTTCCGGAACCTGAAAACTTTCTCGGGTGGAAGTGGTGAGGGATGAATAATGTAGTCGGTACTTCAAGATGTGTTATTGATCTTACTTTAGATGTGCCCGGAAGATTAGTAGCTTTTGTAATGGTGAACATCCTTTGGAAGCAAAACCCAAGCCAAATGGCGGTACTTCAAGATGTGTTATTGATCTCACAAATTAATTGAGAAGTCCACTATAGTGTATGGAAAAACTAGTTCCCTTTGTATTTCATGTATTAAGCGTTGTAGATTACGAGTTGAATTTCATAATGTAATTGAGAGATTGACTTCAGTGTATGGATTAATTTGTATTTCATGTTTTAAGTTTGGTATTTCGATAATGTGTTATATACCCGTGTATTGGATATTTGGTTTACACACATTGGACGTAGACACGTTGTGGTATATTGTTCTTATGTAATTCATGACTAGAATTGGGATGCCGAGGCATTGCTACTTAACTTCTCTCTCATTTGAAATTTAAGATTTTAAATTATGGAATTGAAATGCATGAATTGAAGTGAAATGCTATTTTCCAAACACTGTTTTATACTCCTGTCCTGTTTTAAATCGTCTATTTTAATTTTTAGACATATTTAAGGAAAAGAAAAAATAGAGTTGATTTTTCGAAATTGTCATTACTTTTTAGGAGGGATGACGATGAATTAGAAGATAAAGTGAAGAAGGGTGACTTATTTTAGGGGTAGTTTAGGTATTTTATTTTTAAAAGTTTACGATAACAACTAATAGGCAACTTATTTTGGGACGGAGAAAAAAGGCAAACAGGTAATTTAAATTGGGACAAAGGGAGTATAAATTTACTTAAGATCAGTAATGTCTCAAGAACTAGAGTATAATATAGTGCATAAGTTGGAATGTATGTCTTTTTAGCGAAATATTAGTTTACAAGAATGCCACAAGTGATCAACTTTAAAGGCATTACATAAGTGATTTAGGACAGTAATCTCTAATAAAAAAATGTAATTGTGAAATATTGTTTTGCCGTAACAAAAATTACAGTTTTTCAATATTTCTAACACATCAATGTCTAACATTAAGGATCATTGTAAAGTTTATCTCATGTTGCCTCATAATACCAAAGGAAACCAATAATTAAACAGGACTATGAATTAGATTACTTTGCATTTCATGTTTTAATTGTTGGTTTTTCGATAATATGATCATAACTGAAATTGGGATGTCGACTATATTGTATGGAAGAAAAAATTCATTTACCAATTATCTGACGTTGACACGCTGCTACTTCATACATGAAATACAGTGAAGATGGGTCTTCTCAATTAAATGAGGTCGACCTATCAAGTCGACCTGTAAACCCCAGTCGACTTACTACTGTTGACATATATTATCCTAGTTAACACTCGAAGTAATTCATCCTTGAAAATGAAGCGATGTTTCATTCCTTTTCCAGTTCATTGCATCGAAAGTCTCGCATACACATTGAGTAAGTACACATTAATAAGTTTTGCTACTGTAGCACGAAATTGGTACAGTAATGTCTTCAATGAAAGTATCCCATACATAGTAGGCACACATTAATAATTTTTGCTACTGTAGAAAATTTTTATTTCTACAGTAACGTCTTCCTAGTTATTGTAAACACTCGCTTACTTGGAAATGGACCAATGTGTCGTTCCTTTTCCAGTTCAACGCATCGAAAGTGTCGCATACACATTGAGTAAGTACACATTAATAAGTTTTTCTCTTTTGTACTATTTAATTGCTATAGTAACGTCTTCAGTGAAACCCATAATTTTTGCCCATAAATTCAACAGATGAACACCCATACCTCGTTGTATAGCTCCATTTCTTCTTCCTCAATGAAGTTTATCATATCTTATTTTTCTATTGTACCCAAGTCAAATATTCTCCTCTCATTTCTTACACTCAGTCACCATTGTGTAATGGTTATTTTTTAAAAGGCTCATAATTGATTTCTCGTATACGCAAAAGGTTCATAATGGGTTTCTCACTCACCATTATGTAGCCTTTTGCCCACCTTTTCCCACCAACCGGTTGTCCGTTAAGGAAACAACCGGAAAGTAATGGTGGGGAAGAATTCCAGAAGGGAACTGTCAACAACCGCAAGTGAATGGCTCCTTCCAGCCCTCGACCCCTTCCACTGCCGCTACATACCCCTCGACAGAAGTGGCCTACTGTTAGCATATATAGTTCTACTTTACATTTTTGTATATTCTTTCCATGTATGTATCCTTCCTTGTATGTAATCGGGCTTGGCCCAACATAGCCTAGTTAACCTACTTGTATTTATACGACATGAATACTCAATGGAAAACATTCAACATTTTACAAATTTCTACATGGTATCGGAGCCAATTTCCTGGGATTCGTTTAAACCCTAGGCTCGGTTTTTCCTTCGTGCCGTCGCCGGCACTGCTTCGACCGATTCATGACGGTCACCGATCGGCTCACGTCGATCTCCACCACGACATCGGCTCACGTCGGACACATCACTGGTGCCTCATTGTTAGAATAAGTGCCCTTCACTAGAGGGGGGGGTGAATAGTGAGGCACGAGAATGTTTATAAATTTTCGCGGAATAAAAATCGCAGGGATAAAGTAAAGAGCGGAATAAAAAGGAGTAAAGGGAGCACACCAAGATTTACCCTGGTTCACCACAACTTGTGGCTAATCCCATGCCATGTATGCTCGTTCCTTCTTTTTCTTTTCCTTGCGGTTTGGGCAATATGGCTTTATGTGGCCAAGTTCTCCACAACCAAAGCACGTTGGAACAGGTTCCCCCTTTCTTTTACAATCTCGGGACCCAAGTTCTTCCTTCAAAAACTCTTGGAACTTCTCGAGCAAGTTATAAGAAGGATTATGGTCATCGCTATCGGAGTCACTTACCTCTACCCTTTTTGAGGATGAGGCTTTGAGAGCGAGACCGGGACTCTTGTCAAGAGAAGGTTTAAGAATAGTAGATTCATAAGTTTTAAGATTACCTCGAAGACCATCGATGGTGACATTGGTGTTACCAATCGACTCATATATGGCATCGGCTTTTGAACGCCATTCCGGTGTTAGGCTCCAAAGGATTTTTCGAACAAGATCTTTGTTCGAGTATGTTTTACCAAGGACATGGAGATCGTTGATGATCTTTAAAAATCGGTCGAACATTTGATCAACGCTTTCAATTTCCTTCATTTTAAACAACTCATATTCATGGGTTAGAAAATCAATTTTAGCTTC